CACAGAATGTGCAATGTACTTTGGTTGTTTGATCGGTAAAATGTGAATTTCGAATGATTCAAGACTAAACTGATGACTAGTTCTCTGTCTGTCAGTCGGTCGATCAATACGAATAAACCAGTAGATGAGCGCACCACAGCCGACGTTCAAAATCGATTTGCAGCCGAGGTAACGTGAGCGGAATCAGACAAAATATCTCGGTGATCGGAAGAGAGAACAAGGACACAATGTTATCCAGTTCGCTATGGGTATGTATGCGTGTGTGTGTGTGTGTGTGTGTGTGTGTGTGTGTGTGTGTGTACATAAACCAGGTGGCACGATCGGAGAGACTTGTGCCGCTACTGACATTCGATAGTCGAAAAAGGAAGCGGTATTAGCCGGACTGTATTCACCAGTAGAGGAATCAAGTAACTAAATGACCATTAGGATTATGAAACTTGTGTCACAATAAAACAAAATAATTCACACCATTCTCATGTTTCACTATCCGGTTGTTTATTCTAGAACTAAAAGTACTGTAACCCAAACTGGGGAATAAAATTGATTGACAGTTCAAACATTGTACAAAAAAGATTGATCACTTCAAACAAGAATGTGTGATGGCACAAGCTTGTCGAGCTGCAGAAATATACACAGTTTTCGATGAAACCACCATCTTTAGATGAGAATTAAGACTCATCTTCCAGTAGGCCTGACGCATTCAAATTTTATATTATTGACCCGGTTGGTGGATAATCAGCCTGAGAATAAACGGTCACCGATGTGCAAGATGGGAAAACGGCGAAAAATCTGAAACCCGGGGGGTATCGACCAAATTTGTATCAAAACTACAGTGGAGTAGAGTACTCAACCAGCTCTGTCGGTCGGTCAAAACATAAAAACCGGAACGGGGTTAGAGAAATTCCCATTGCAATTCATTGCGCTCATCCCGATATCCCCGTTTCGAAATGACTAAGTGCGCTCAAAACGTTCGTCCACTATGTAACTCACGGGGTTCGGTTCACACTCGGGAAATTTGGGATTTGAGTCGAAACAACAGGCAAACAGTACGCACTACAGACAAGTTCAGGCAGGGATAAACTGTCTAGTACCGAGTTTCGGCTCTCAAGCGATTGCTTCTGGTTCATGTTTAATTTGCAAAATTTTCTTTACCCAGTAGCATGTGTGTGAAAAGCACAGTTTTAGAACCGTGTAGCACTAATTGCAGCTACAAAATGCCTTCTCAACATTTTGTCTAACCGGGCGGGCTCCCAGGTTTCTCAGCCTATGAGTTCTGATACACCACATAGTGAAGCCTTCAGGGTGTGCCTCACACAGACAGACCAAAACATTTGACATTATCAGCCTGAACGGTTGTTTTTTTCCAGTGAAATCAGTCCCCTGATCACAAATAAAACCTCCAGTCCCATACGTGTGTTCACAGATCTGCCGTTGTGAGCGACTTCGAATGTCGATGCAATCACTAAAGAGTGGTACTTGTCAATCACTTTGAATAGTATCAGTGTACAGAAGATGACCGGTGAGAAAATGTTGCAGGCAAACTCACCCCGTCAGGCACGTATAACAAGGAAATGTTACTACATTTCATTGGGAAGTGACCAGAGGAGGCAAAGAAATATTTGAGGTTTCCATCGGTTTTTCAGTGCAGCACCTAACTGGCGACAGAACTGTAGGAAGGTGTTATTCAAAATGACGAATCGGATGAAGGACGCAAAACCTGTCGCCATTAGTCCAAGTTAG